GTTCTTAGTAAAATTAGCAAGATATTAATTGCTTGCCGTATGCAAGGCAGTGTGCTAAGCACTTAAAAAAAGGCTCAAAGAAAGTAAAAATTAGTCTCTGTCTTTGAGAGCTTATATTCTTATGGAGAGACAAACATGAACGAAAAGCACATTCGAGATATACGCAGAGTAGATATAATCTCAAACGGGGAGGGGCACTAGCAGCCAGGAGACCTGGAGAGACCTCTTATAGAAGCTGGGATTTGAAATATCTTGAAGGAAACTTAGAAGCTACAATGAAGAGAGAAAGTATTCCAGGTGCAGGGGACAGCCAGGGAAAAGACATGGAGGTGGGAGATGGAGCTCGGGGTGAAAAGAACGGTGAAAAGGCTGGTGGAGCTGAGTCATAGAGGGCATGGAAGGGAGAAAAGCGTAAGAAGACTGAGAAGTAGGAAGGGAACAGATTGTAGAGAGCTTTAAGGGCTTTATATCTGATTTTAGAGGTCATAAGGAGTTAGGAAGACAATGGAATTGATTGGGGCAGGTGGTGAGAGGTAACATGGGCAGGACCACACTTTACAAAAATCATATCGGCAACTGACTGGAAGATAGATTGGAGTGGGGAGAGACTTGAATGAGAGAGAGCATATTATGTTCTGTTATGATGGGCTACCAAGCAAAACGGAACTTGTGAGTGGACTTAATGTTCATCAGCTACGGACAGATCTCTGTTCTACCAGGAATTAGTTGTGTGCCCTTGAACAAATCATTTAACCTCCCTAGGCCTCATTCATAAAAATAATGAGGTTGAACCAGATGGCCTCTAAACTGCCTTCCAGTTCTAGCAATTTCTGAATTTATAAGTGTATCTAATGACCAATCTAGCTGACTAAACTTACTCAAAGATTAACCATATTCCATCTCCAAAGATAAAGGCAAAAATTCCGATTTCAAATAACTTACAAAAATAGGCTATGAAAATACTAGTTAATGATAACAATAATACCCCACAATTCTAAAAGGATTTACCATTTACAAAGCATGTTAATATGTGTTATCTCATTCAATCCTTCAAACAGCCTTGTGATACAGATCCTATGGCCTCATTATACAGATGGGCAAACTGAGGCTAACTGAGACTGATGATTTGCTCAAGGTTATGCAGCTAGTAAATGGCAGAACCAGAACAAGAGCTCAGATGTCCTCTGGGCCATGACATCTTTCTGATCCATCTGAGTATTGTCTGGCTTTTGCATTTGCCATTCACTGAATATAACCTAGGGCTCAAGCCTGGGCATTAGTGTAAGACTCTCTTCTGCCCTCTTAGAGAGCACAGAGTGAAGAGTAAATGTTCTCTCCACCAGTGAGAAGAGTCTCATATCAATGACCAGTTTTGGAACCCAGGGTTATATTCCCATGAATGTAAGACCTCCTTTTGATTAGACTATGACTTCCTTGAGAGCAGGGATTATCTCATTTTTCTATTTGTATCCTTAGCACTTAGCTCAGCACTTGACACATAGTAAATGCTTAATAAATACTTTTTGTTACATACCCCTCCATGTTCTGAAGGGCCCTACACATCAACACAGGATGGATTTACCTGAGAGCTCTTTAAAACATCTGATTTTTATACTGGCATAATCACTCTTTTGATTCACCATTATATCCTCTCAACTTTCACCTCTCTTATTTTATTGCCTTAAATGAACAAAAAAGCAATTATTAAGTACCTATTATGAGCTAGTAAGGGTGTCTATTTTTTTTTTTGGTGAGGCAATAGGGGTTAAGTGACATGCCCAGGGTCACACAGCTAGTAAGTGTCAAATGTCTGAGGCCAGATTTGAACTCAGGTTCTCCTGACTTCAAGGCAGGATCCCTATCCACTGGGCCACCTAGCTGCCCCAAGGGTGTCTATTCTTGTACTCTCTATTTCCAAAGGGAAATGGAGGTACAAAGCATAGCCATACAAGGGATGGAATTTATGGGCCACACATAGGCTTCCTCAGTTACCAATGAAGCATGACTTGCCATCTGAAGTGTTCAGTGTGGTGTGGGTGGGAGAACCCACAGGAGGCTAAGAATGAGAACCATAAAAATGATAAAAAGAATTTCTTCTTTCTAGGCATTTGAATCTTATCTAAATAACCTGAATGATTCTACAAACCCCAGGTTGAAAGGCAAATTAGATCACAAATGCTGTTACTAGGGAGACTTCCATTCAAAAGCCTTTTTGTGTACCCAGGGAGGCAGCATATTAATCACATATTTAAATGGCACCTGACTGCACTTTCTCAACTTCCCACAGCTTCCGGTTTCTTCTCTTTGTTCAGGGACTTTCTTAAGGAGCTGACAGAGCTAGCTTATGGTGTCTAGTCAGCAAACTGGAACACTGAAGAAAAGAATTCCTGACATTTCAAGGCCCTATTATCTTGCACAGATGCTCAGGTTACTTAGCTAAGACATTTCCATTTCGAGACAGTTTTCTGAGATGGTGTTAGATCCCAATCATCATTCATTCATTAAAGCAACATAATTAGGTTTTCAGGGTGGAGAAGGAGAAGGAGAGAGTATTAAGTATCTCTTCTTCAGAAAACAAAAGCACTAAAAGGACATTTCGGATAGGAATTTTGTAGCCAAGTTCTGTCCCAGAAAAAAATTCAAACAAACCAAACACTCCCATTGATGTCATGGAGAGTTTTGGAGTAAACATGGTCTATTCATTCTAAATATGATAATAATAAATGTAACTGACAGTTATCTATACAGTTCTTTCTAGTCTATAGGGCATTATACAATCTCATTTGCACCTAAGAACAGCCCTGCAGTGAAAGAAGGGTAGGCAAAACTATCCCATTTTATAGATGAAGAAAGGCTCAGAGTAGTGAAGTAATTTCTCCATGGTTAAACAATTACTAAATGCTAGATCTGGGACTTGAATTTTGACTATCTTTTATAAAATCCAGTGCTCTTTCCATGACACTACAAGTCAAGTCAACAAGTCTTTATTAATTGCCTACTATGTACCCCTAAAGCTATGTAGTGTCCTTGTACAAATCTTTGGTCTGCCTATTACTGTGCACCAATTATTAACATTATCATTATCATAAGCTAAATGTGGTAATCAATTAAGTTCTAAGGCAGAGGTGATTCCCTGTCAGGGAAATCTGTATTTCTCCGTATGTTTCTCATTGAGAACAACTGGGTTTTGAATACTGACAAAAGACTTTCCCATTTGTAACAAATGTGAAAAGAGATTTTGAATTATTCTAGAGCACCTAGCAGAGCCCCGGGCACAAGTGGGCAGCTAACATACAACTGCTGTTCTTCAAGCCCAGCAAATTCAGTTCAGAAATATTTTGTATGTGCCAATGTCTTAGTAAGCAGCACCCAACAGCAGGGAGGAAGAAGAGCATGAAATCTGGATGCAGGGTATAGCTCACGACAGTTAAGATAAAAAAAAAAATCTTTCACTCTGCCTAATAAATGCTCGTTGATTGATTGATTGCACATCTCAGCCACCTGTGCACCCAAACTGCAATTAACTACTCCAGCCCTAACAGCTGCTCTGCCAATGGATTTGTTACATCACTTCCATTATTGAACAGATCAAACATTAGTGTCATCACAGCCTTCATGAAGATTTAGCTTTAACCATTAAGACACATGAATCAACTAACAATGAGAAAAACAGATGGAATCATGGGATTTTTAAAAATTAGATCATCTAGTTCAGCTCCTTTTTACCAGGGAAGTAACTGAGGCTGAGAGTGGCTAAATCCAGAGTCATACTGGTGTTAATTTTTAGAAGCCAAGTTCTCTGAAACAAAACTCCCATGATGACATTGGGAATTTCAGAGTGAGCATAGCATATTCATCCTCAACAGGAAGAAAGAGGAGAAGGAGGAGGAGGAGGAGGAAGAGGAGGGGGAAGGAGGAGGAGGAGAAGGAGGAAGAAGGGGGGGGAGGGGACGTTGTCTTAATGGTTGAAGAAGAAAGAAAAAGAAAAAGATTAGCTGTCTTTCTCTTCTCCCTCATCCCCCCAGTTTCCACCTTCTGCTGTGCAATGTAATTAAGTACTTGCTACTATAAAAGGCATGTCAATCAACTCTCCTGTGGTTCCCCTCACCATTCCATGACTTCTCAGTCTGTATGAGTATTCTTCCTGGATACTATTCCTCTGTATTTGCTGTCTTTCGCCATTAGAATCTAAATTCCTTGAGGATAGGGACTAGCTTGCTTTTGTACTTGGAGCACGGTGTTTGGCAAATGATTCACCCACATAAGTAATATGTTACAGAGCTAGAATTCAAACACAGGTCTTCTGACTCCAAATTGATCTCTCTTTCATCTATACCATGATGCCTGAATAATAAAATGTGTTTTCCAGCTGCCAAAGACAGATATAGCTATATAGTTGATTCTCAGTTATTTGGGAGCTGATTATCCACACTCTTTGCTTATTCTCTCTATTTCTTACCTGCCTTTTAGTTAATTCTTTTTGGTCCTCTTAACTGCTGAGTTTGAATGGGCACAAAACTCAAGTCAGTCAGTTTAGCTATTTGAGAATTCTCATAAAAGATAGGTCACAGAATGAGGCTGAAACTCACAAAATTTTGGGTCCATCTGCCATTCAATTATCCATACCAGTTCCACTCCTCTATAGCTATAGGTTGTACTGAAGACTCAATTCTTTGAAGTGCACAGCAAAACAAAAACCTAATTCTACCCAGATACACCTATTCAGTTAGATTCAACAAAGTGATTTGTGTCACACCGGTGCTAATTTTTAAGTCACATTAATTGTCCACAAGAAACCTAGGAAATATGATATACACACAAAACTAGAGGAGACTTGATAATCGCACATAATTGGACAATCTTGTATCTTACAACATTAGTCAAGCAGGAAGTTCTAACTTTCAATAAATCTTGCACATAATAAAACTTTTTAAGCTATCAGTAGACAGAAAGAAATGTTTCCTAGCATCTCTATCCATAAGCTTCCATGTTTTCCTTACCTACTCGAAAGATCAAATCATCTTCAATGGGATTCTCTTTTCTTTTTCCAGTGCTATACATGCTTGCAGGTCTTTTAACAGCTTTTTGTTTCACGTGACCACTTCCTGGAGACTTAACACGCCTCTTGACACCTTCAGTCGTGGGAGACACATCTGCTGACCGAATCACTTTGAGTTTAAATGGGCTGCCTCGAATGTGCTGGTCATAGAGCCTCAGGGAGAGGGTAAAATCTCCTTCCTTCTGTACAGTATACAAGAACTCATAAGTACCGTTTTTATTGTCAAGTATTTCTCCATCCGCCACACTGCCATCAGGAGTACTCAGTTCAGCAGTGATGTAGGCATTCCCGGATTTGCACAGCTCCCCATCTTTGTCCTTGGTTGTTATAGTAACTGACATAGGCTGTCCAATCACAGTCTGCCTCAGGCCTTCACCTGTAGCAACTGTCTCAGAGGCCACAGCATTGGTGGTTAAAATAGTCCCCAGGTTGTGAATCGATTTTTTAAGTCCTTCAGTCTCTACGATGAAATCCAGCTGATCATTTTCCCTAGGCTGCAAAGGGAAGTCTTGATCGGCAAGTTCATTGAGCTTCTCGCTCATCTGTTTCTTAACTAGTAAGACTTCTGTTTCAGTGCCGTGGTTGAGGGCCTGAGCAGTGAAGTTGCTACAGCTTTTGATGTTCTCCTGTCCCTCCAACAGAGTATCCAGTTGTGACTGAAGGACCTGCAGTCAAGCAAGATGCTCGGTTAGTTAAAGGATAATATTTGACCTTACAACTAGAAAACACATTTCAATATCACATTATCACACATTCTGTATCAGTACTGAGCTCTAAAAGAAAACCACCTGCATATACAACAGCTTATGCAAAAACAACACTGTAAAAACAAATGCCTTTGAAAGACTTAAGAACCCTGATCAACGCACTCATCGACTTCACTTTCAGAGGACTTGTGACGAAGAATGACCGACAGGTGATGGACTCAAGATTTCATTATTAGACAAGCAAAATAAGATCGGTCCAGGCAAGGCTAAGGAAGGAGAAACAGGGGTGGGAAGAGAGGCGATGTTTTGTGGTAGTACCTTTGGAAGATAAGAAGAAGGCTACAAATCTCTTCATTGGATGGATCTTACAGTGTATTATATAGAGAAATGGTTTTTAATTAACCTGTTGGGGGCAAATTCCACTTTAAATGAGAAACTGTTCACAGAATGGTAACATCAAAGATCTAGAGCTGGAAGGAACCTTAAAGGATATTTAGCACAACCCCTTCATCTTACAGATGAGGAAACTGAGGCCCAGGGAGACTTGTCCAAAGTCACATGGGCAAGCTTGTAAGTAGTTGCAAGATTAGGACAGAAAGAAATATTCCAATGTCCTTATACTTCGACTGCTAGTTCTTTCCCTCTAAATTACCTTTCATTCATACTCTCTGTATCTTGGATGTACGTAATTCTTTGCAAGTTGTCTCTCCTACTAGAATGGGAGCTCCTTGAGAACAAGGTATACGAGTTTTTGCCTTTTTTTCATACATCAGTGCTTATAGCACAGTGCCATACACATAATAAATACTTAGCAGATGCTTGTTTTGGTATATTTGAAGTCTTCTAGAACCCTCAATGCTTTAGAATCCTTGAAGGGCACACACCTCTCCTCCTCCCCTTTGCTTGCTCTCTGCTTGTTTCAAAGGGCACTGGTTTTGACCTGAGCAGGTGGGCACTTCACTATAAAGAGCTTGGCAAGTAAATAGATCCTCTTGACATGTGAAATAGTCATTATTCTAAGCCTTTCCTCTTACCATTGCAGAGATCAAAGCAAACAAAAAACACCAACAAAAACGACTTTCTGCACTAGGGATGCCACCTACTTTTATCCCCAGTTTTGTTCTTGGGCAAACTAGCACACATGGAGATTGCTTATCTATGCTCAGGCTGAAGCTTATTTGTAGGAAATGGTGTAGGCGTTAGTGAGCAAACACTAAAGATGTGGCAGTCAGGCTTTAGAGCTCTGATTAATGGAATGATCTACCAGGGGCTCAGGGGACTACAGATGACTCATACTCTCCACCTCCTGCCAAAGAGGTGAGGGACTTAAAATCCAGAGTAAGATGTGAATATTTAAACATGGCAACTGTGGACATTTGTTTTGAGGCACTATGTGTACTCACCACCGTGGTTTTGTTTTTATTTTTGTTTTCTTAATTGTTCCATTGTGAGGAGGTAGCGGGAGGGAGAGGCCAAGAAATGTTTGTAAGAATAATTTTTAAAAAGTGGCAGTCATTCATATATTAGAGTGAAATGTACATATGTGCGCATCTGTGTTCATGCATATGTGTGTGTGTGTGTTGGGTGGGAAGAATGGAGAAGGATCATTTACTATAGAGTGGACCTTAAGAGTGGAGCTTAAGATTGGAGATCTCTACAGGTGCTAGAAGGGCAAAAACATCGCTGCGCACCCATCTGAAGAGTTTAGGAAGTGCACAAAGCACAGCATGACCTTCAGAACCCATCAGGGAATGTCTCTGTAGTTTTGGATCCCAAGAAAGTAAACTCCTCACCCACAGATAGCATGCATTTGCTTGAAAAACAAGAAAACAAACCTCATTAAAAAAAAATCAAACACCTGAGCACTTACTTTGTGTTTAAGGCCATAATTCACCTCCAGCTCCATGAGCAGCACACTCTTGCGCACATTTAGAGTCTTCTGGAGCTCATCGAAGGTGGAATGGATGTCATCTACTATGCTGGCCTTTTGGTTAGTTAGCTGGTGGATGATTTCAGATATGAAATGAAGCGCAGAGTCTATCTCTGGGAGCCTAGGGAAGAAAATCATGACAAATTACCATTTAGAACTCAAAATCGCTGCCTTTAAAAACATAAAATTCTAACATTAGATGGTGAGTTTCTTTTGTTTATTTGTTTTTTCCCTCTAGGCAATGGGGTTAAGTGACTTGCCCAGGGTCACACGAGTGTCTGAGGCTGGATTTGAATTCAGGTCCCCCTGACTCTAGGGCCAGTGCTCTATCCGTTGTGCCAGCTAGCTGCCGAAGGTTGTGAGTTTCTTGAGGCAGGAGCTTTCTTTCATCTCTTCTCATATCTCTAGCATTTGGCACAGTGACTGGCATATAGCAGTAGTGGGCACTTAGTAGATGTTTATTGGCCAACACATAAACTACAATGTTGCTGGTTCTCCAAACAGGATTCATAATCAGAAAATGACTTCTATGTCTTTCAGCTTTGTAAAGCTTACAGGCTATAGAAATGCAAGTTGTGATTTTTTGGGGTGGCAGGGAGGAGTGGCTGGACCTGTGATTTTATTGATATAGAGAACTATAAGTGAGAAAACTTATTCTATTATCACTCCTGAGCTCTAAAAGAAAACCACCTGCATAAAGAGAACAGTTTATACAAAAACAATACTGTATAAACAAATTACTTTGAAAGACTTAAGAACACTGATCTATGCATTAACCAACTCTACTTTCAGAGGACTTGTGATGAAGAATGACTGACAGGTGATGGACTCAAGATGCAGAATTAGACATACAGTTTTGGACATCGCCAATGCAGGAATATGTTTTGCTGAACACACCTGTTTGTTGCAAGAGTTTTTTATCTACCTATCTTTCTTTTTCTTCCTTCCTTTCTTCATTCTCAAGGATGTGGTGGGGGGAGAGTGGGGGAAAGAAAATAAATGTTTGCTAGCTGAAAAAATACAATTAAAAAAAAGGTTTTCCTTTAAAAGAAAAAAAGAAGAAAACTAGCTGCCCAGATAGGTATTTTTCTCTCCAGAATGTTTGCAAATAATGAACCCACTAATCAAACCCAAGCTCATCAAATAGCAATAATATGTTTCATGGGTAAAATTCTATTATAATCAAAAGTATTATAAAGCAGAGGCTGAGTGTGGCATACTGGGGAAAATCCTTGATTTTGTTTCAGAGGATCAGAGTTCAAATCTCAGCTCTGCTATTTCCTATGTATAATCACTTTCCATGAGTGTCTTACCTCTCTTGACTTCAGTTTCCATCTGTAAAATGATGGAGTTGGATCAGATATTTAAGGTCTCTCTCAGTTCTATTATGGGCTCATCTATCACCATGAAAGCCTCCTTGAATTGAGAAATCTCTGTGTACTTTTCTTAGATTTCTAAATTATTTTCTGGTATGGAATACCACTCTTTCCTTACAGACCCAATTTTCCAGTCCTCTCTATTTCCAGGACCATAGGCTCACAGGGGCAGTTAGGTGGTGGTGCAGTGGATAGAGCACTTGGCTTGGAATCAGGAAGACTCATTTTTATGAGTTCAAATCCAGTCTTAGATACTTCCTAGCTGTGTGACTGTAGGCAAGTCACTTCACCCTGTTTGCTTCAGTTGCTCATCTGTAAAACAAGCTGGAGAAGGAAATGGCAAACCGCTCCAGTAATTCCTCCCAAGAAAACCCCTGATGGGGTCACAAAGAGTCAGACACAACAACAACAACAACAACAACAAGGCTTACAGAACTAGGGCTAGAAGGGACTTCAGAACCCACCCAGTGCAACCTCCTCATTTTCCAGACAAAGACATAGAGGCTCAGGGAGCTTAAGTGATTCAAATGTCCAGTGTCACCCAGGCAGCATCAGAGGATCTGAAGCCAGGTCCTCTGCCTCTGGGGGAATGCAGCGTACCAGAGTCCTGTCTTTCATTGTTGTCTGCCTTCACATTATTATAGACATTGTTCCTTTGGTTCTTCAGACTTCGATAATGTTATCATACAGAGCTTTGATGTTTATAAAGCGCTTTTACTTGCATAATCCTCCTTTTATCTTTACCTGTGAGACAGGTTCGATAGGTATCATGATACCCATCTTACAGATGAGGAAACTGAGGCAAAGAGAAATTTAGAGACTCACCCTAAGCAAATAAACACAGGCAAAACAGAACACAGTCTTATTTCATTTCACTCCGATGGCCCGCCAACAACGGTCAATGGTGGGTGTCAGGCCATAGCTTTTAAGAGAGGCTGAATCTTGGTAAGAATTTCTTAGTTCTTTCATCAGCACGCCCCTCGATTGTACTTTGTATCTCTAAACATGCTGAATAAGTTGCATAACAACACTCCTGTTCATTACACAGCTAGGTCTAAGGGCAACACAGAAGACCTGTCTCCAACATAGCTGAGAAGCTACAAAGCCAAGACCCACGTTTGTTCCTGTGAGAAACCGTGAAAACGGATTCTGTAACACCAGTTCCTAGAGTGGTCTACTAACCTACTTTAGATAACAGTCTGGCCAAGATGGACAATGAGGGGAAACATCACCCTCATGGCAGTGAATCAGGAAGGAAAAGTGAGACCCGTCTGCTTACCTTTTGTTGACAGCATCGAGCTGGACTTGAAGGGAAGCTTTATGCTGTTCAACCACATCCTTGAGTGGAACGGTGGGGTGTTCAGCGTGCTCCCCTTCCGTGCACTCTCGACACATGGCAGTCTCGCAAGACTGGCAGTAAAATTCCATCACCTAAGGAGCACGAGAGCAATTCACATTTGACATAAGAACTGTTCTCACTAGAGTGACATATTATATTTGCCTGAAAACAACAACAACAATAATAACTAATAACTGGCACAGAAAACTGGACTTGGGAATCAGGAAGACCTGAGTTCAAAACCCATCTAAGCCATTTGCTAGCTAAGTGACCTCTGTCTGCTTCTGCTTCCTCATCTGTAAAATGGGGATGATAATAGCAAGAGTAACCTCACAGGACTGTTGTGAGGATGAAATGAGATACTAAATATATAGTATTTTGTAAACCCTAAATTTGGAACTATATAAATTAGCTATTGTTGTTACAATTGATGTTTTTGTTTTATTTGATTAATGTATATTTTATGCCTTTTATATAGTCAGCACTACATAAATTATTATTTAGTAACTGCTTTCATCACAGTTCTGCTATTTTTGCAGTGGCATTTACCTTTATGTTATTGTCAGCTCTGCAAATCGTTTCTGTGGTTCTGCCCACTTCAATAACTGATATTTATATAGTGATTTGAGGTTTCAAAGGGCTTTATGTACATTATATTTTTAATCTTTACAATGGCCCCTGGAAGGTAAATAATAACTTCTATAATGCTTACTACGTGCCAGGTACTGTACTAAGCACTTTACAACTATTAGCTCATTTGATCTTCCCAACAACCCTGGGTGAAAGCTAAGCAAACAGCACTGATCCCCCAAATAGAGGGAGAGTCAGTTAAACAGGCCAGCACATCTTGGGAGTCATTTTCCTAAACTATTCCATCTAGCCTGGAGATAAGAAATGAAATTACCTTCAATAGGTTAAAGGGTTTGTTCCTGCTCTCGGTCTGGTTGCCACCTGAATCCATTTTCCAGGAGCTCAGGGCTTTTTCTTAAAAGGAAAAGTTAGGTGGTTTCCTCACAGAAAGTAGTTAGGCCACTGGGGGCTGGTGGTGGGGTAGGATTTAATATAGGGCATTATTTGAGTAGAAGTCTCATTTGGTACTAATAAGGTTTCCTTCATCCAGGTAAGTCTATGCTTACTGTCTCAGGGAGGGGGGTGGTGAGGGAAGAAGGACTAGAATTTAGAACTAAAAACTTCAAAAAAAGGTTTTAAATGTTTTAACATGTGATTGGGGAAAAAAATATTATATAAAAATACATATAAAATACTATATAAAAATATTATATAAGACATTATATAAAAACCTCAAATTTGAAAAATATTTACTTCTCAGTGACTGGAAGGCTAGCCTTCCAGCCATCATGACATGCTTCCTCTCAATGTTTTTATATAGCATTTCCTAAATGTGAGACTGTAGCCAATTGTACAATTGTGGCTCATTCTTTAGAGGCAACTGGAAAGATATGAGATTACCAAGTATTGTACTGAAGTAAAATTTCATTACAATCATCTCCAAGATGTTGTTTCCTAAGGCCAGAATATTGGTTTTGTTTTGTTTTTTTTTTTTTTGCTGCTTAAAATGAGTCACAGACTAGGGTTTTTACATTTCTTTTTTCTTTCTTTCTTTTTTTTTGTTAGAGAGTTGATTACATGTATTTTTTTATTTCTTGACCGACTTGGGGCCGGTACTGAGCAACAGACATTTCCTTCTTCTTATTCTATTAGAGAGAGATTCATTTGAATAGACTCCAATTTGAAAATATTACCAGCAGTAAAAGAATCCTGGCAGATTAGGAAGGAATGGACAGGCAGCAAAGATGTATTAGTACCTTTTACAGAGGTTTTGAAAAAGGAATGTCTTTTGTTAGACTTCCTTCACTCTCCCCTGGAGGTATCTCCTAGTTACCTTCAAGACCAACTCCACCTGCATTACCACTGTCACCTCAAACTCGATATATCAAAGTGGAGCTGATAGGCTTTCTCCCTAAACTCATTCATCCATTTCATTTTAGTATTTCTGTCCTTCATCTGACATTCATCTGACCGTTTCTCATCTTTAAAATATTGGTATTATCTTTCATACCCTGTCCCTCATCTCTCATACCTGAGCTACTACCAATTTGTGTCAAATTTGACCTCAGTGACATGGCTTGTATTTATACACATCTTTTCATGGGCACTATATTTCATTTCATCCCTAGACTACTGCAATAGCTTCCAGCCAGGTTTCTTGCACTGTTTCTCCCATGAACTAATCCATCTTTCACACTGTTTCACTCAAATATACTCTATGCAAAGATGTCAATTCTCTTTTCAAAAATCTCAAGTGGTTTTTCTACTGCCTAATGAATAAAATTCATACTTTTTTGCTTTGTGGTCAAAATCCCCATAATCTGGCATCCTTATATTTTTCCAGCCTTATCTAATATGAATCCCTTCCATGCATCTCCTGCTCTAGCTAAAACACCCTTCAAACACACTTCATTTTCTTGCCTCAACTGTCTTGCGCCTTTGCTCATAAGAACTGTTCCCTCTGCCAGTAATGTTCTTCCTCTTCCTCCTCTCCACTTCCTGAATTCCTACTGATCCTTTCAGATCCAGCTAAATTGCTTCTCCTCCATGAAATCTTAACTGGTCCTTTCTGTAACTACTGCTCTTTCCCTTTTGCACCTCACATGTAGCTTTGTCATCGATACTTCTAATATACTTATCACACTGTATATTATAGTTAGAGATATCTTACTGCTTACCAGATTTTAAACTTCATAAGGGCAAAGACTATTTATAATCTAAATTTTATATTTCTTCCATATCACACACAAAACTCTGTACGCAGTAAGTGCTTAGTAAATATTGAATCAACAATATTAACAATTTTTGATTTTTATATTTGATTTTCATCATTTTCAGGTACTTCTGAAAATGAGATTTTGCCTAGTTGAAAGCAAATTTTTCTACCATCCTGTGTTAATTCATTTGCTAATGTAGTAAATAGGTTAGTATTCCTTTCTTCCTGACCCATTTGCATGGGGTCAAGGATGGATACAGAACATGACATTTCACATGAGGTGCTGGGGTCTCAGAATTATTGCCGATTGAACAAGAGCAGGAACCTATTTTGCAAGGGTGCTGACCTACCCCAGCAAGCTCTGATAAGTGCTGAGAGAGAGAGAGAGAGAGAGAGAGAGAGGGAGAGGGAGAGGGAGAGGGAGAGGGAGAGGGAGAGGGAGAGGGAGCGAGAGCGAGAGCGAGAGCGAGAGCGAGAGAAGGATACACAGAGAGAGAGAAGGAGACAGAGACAGAGAGAGGAGAGACAGAAAGAGGAGGAAGGGAGGGAAAAAGGGAGGGGGAGAGAGAGAAAGAGAGAGAGAGAATGGAGGGGAGGAAGAGAGGGAGACAGAGAGAGCATACCTGCTACACGTATGAGAAAGGCAGTATGGAGGCTTAAGAAGAGCAGTGAGAGATGGAAATTTTCTGGTTGGAGAAGAACAAGTAGATCCTAGCTTGGGAAAAGCTTCAGATTCTAATAGCAACAGTTTTTGAGTAGGGATGCCAAGACTGTCTGCACTGAAATCTTTAACCTCTGCCCCCATCTCCTCCTCTGAGAGAAACACTGGCTATGTATCCCCTTATGGGAGTTGGGAGGCTTTGATGGAAATGAATCCCAAATTATTCAGGAAAGAAGGGATAAGAGAAACTGTAGTCATAGGGAGTACAGGCTATGATTACTTTCTATTGTTTTGCTGTTCATTTGTATCCCAAATACATGTTTTACATTTCAATTCCAACTGTTGGCCTTTGTTTTCCTAACAGATGAGTCACTGAATATGTGAGAAATAAGCTAATTGCAAAAGATTTCCAAGAGTTTTGGAATCTGAGAAGGGAAGAAATGAACCAGAAAGATCTATTTATGATTATTTTTAAATTATTCTTGACTTAACTAATATAAACATGAAAATTTCCATATATAAAAAAAAAGAACAGGAAAAGAAAACTCATTATGTACAGGTTTTTAAGAAAAAAAATTTAATAAGGAATATACTGTACTCAATTCAGTATGTTAGTTTCAAAGCTGTCTTGTGTGCTACCCTTTAGAACCTCTTGATCCTTCGTGGAAAGGTCTACGACACCCCAGTCCCCTGGGAGGAGGTGGGAGAATTAGGGGTAAAGAAGGGCCCAGGAAAGGGGTAGAGTGGGGACTTGTGGCCCTCTGGGTCCTCAAGTGTGGCCCTTTGACTGAATCCAAACTGCACAAACAAATTGTTCTGTGAAGTTTGGATTCAGTCAAAGGGCCACACTTGAGGACCCAGAGGAACCATCGGTTCCCCACCCCTGGTAAACTAAGAATGAGTATCAGTTTGAAGCTTGGTTAAGTACTGGGGGTGGTAATATATAGAACATAGGGCTGGTGATACTATTTTAGGGAGGAAACATACCCTCTGGATATTGGCCATCTTTGGTACCAAAGACCCAGACTCTAGTTACCCCCCCTTGTTAGGGCTATGTTGAGAACCCCACGTTACACATTTTGTCTATGGGTCAGAAGGCGATTCAGACCTTCACAGGATACATTAATTTGGTGTCATTCCAAATAGAAAAATGATTTCCTTCATTTGTTGTGGAAAATGGAGGAATCTAAAGCAGGCTAAGAACCAGAAAAACCAGAGACTGTCTCATGCAAAGGTCTCTCGGCAATAGGTTGCAAGATGAATGCATTTGGCAGACTCCCAAGCTTTATTCCTGGCCCAAGCATCAAAGACACTTTCTGTATTCTGTAACACTAGAAAGCGTCTTTCCAAAAGCAAGACCTAAGTGTGCTGTTTCTTTTGCAATCCAGTCAGATTCAGCACACTATCATCACTTATGTTTCTGTCTTCAAGTAAATTGGTGCTACACTGCTGGGATCCCAACACAGCCACCAACTTCTAAATCAAAAATCAATAAGAGGAAGGTTTCGAGCAAAGAAGGTAGTCAGCCTATCTCCTCTTATTTAATTGGCAATGTTTCTTTATGTGGTAGCAAAAAACTAGAAAAGGGGGTGCCCATTAACAAGAATGCTGAACAAATTTTCCTATATGAACGTGATGCAGTATTA